GGGGGGGGTTGTCCCTAAGTGTTATGCGAAAATAACAGGACAGCAATCTAATGGTGCCAAGGGGGTGTTTGTAGTTGTGTGGCTCAAGACAGGCTTCTTCTGCAATGTTCAATTAAGTTCATTTACATGCGCTTTTGCTGATTTTTGCAAGGGAAAATATTACATTTGTTGTATGCTGCAGGCTACCTAGAGCATACATATGAGAGGACTTGGGAAGTAAACATTATTTCATATCAGGGAAACACAATACTTTTGCCCAGCCCAAACAGCAGATGTACAAGCTATGAATGCATGTTCAAATTAAGAACTAAACAAGTATGGCACAGGTGCCATAGTTCCCAGATCTGGGTGAAATTTCAGTTTTAATAGCATCATTTACAATCAGAAGGTTCTTCCAGGATCTAATTTCGTTCTGTTAGATTGTGATTAGCAGATTCTTTTTTAAAAAATCCTCTTGCTCATCAAGTGATGAATTAATTATGTGATACAGCCTGGAACTGCCAAGTCTATGTCTTATTTGCACAAATCATTAAGATTTTCAAAAACTTACACTGTGTTGGAAATACGTGGGACAAAACAGCAAAATTTGGGCATCAACTCACATGGCCAGCAGCCATAGTGAAAAGGTCACTGGTTATGCCAAAACTTTCCTCCAAGCTTAACTTCAAAACTACTCACAATTCCCACTTGCAAGTGATATTCCTTGGGTTGTGAGGAATGCTACCCAGCCCGTAAGAACGGAATATTACACACTAGCTGGTAGGCACTGGATGGGTTCCCAGGGACTGCTTTATTTAAAATATTATCAGTCAACTGACTTCAATTTGTCAGGACTTTTGCTTGTTGATAGAAAAAACATATATGAGGATTGAAGGCAGGAGAAGACAGGCTGCAGGGCTGCTTCCACACAGAGATTTTTCTCTGCTTTGGTTTCTAAACTGGACCATGCTCTTTCCCAACCTGCTTTACTCTGATTTTTCTGAAAACAACACAATTCAAGCATGCTTGCATGCCATCCAGATGGAATGGTCCATATTTCCCAGACCTGCAAAGGTCCCACCTACATCAGCACCATTTTCCCACGGTCACTCCTTTATGGGCAACATTTTCACAGCGTTTTCATGCCTTGCCACCAGAGGGCTGTTTGAGGTTTAATTTTTTTAAATTATTAATTGGTATAGCATTATAGCACTATAACAATCTATTCCCATTTATATATTTCAAATGTTAATATTATTCTTGCACCTCTATATCACATATATGAAGAAAAGAACCAAAATAAGGGGACAGCAAGCCATCATGGTAGCCACAACAACTATACACCTGCCAGTCAACATGGAGTCCATGCAGAGCACATGTGGAAGGGAAAAAGTGGAAGAAAAGAGGGAGGAAACTGCATGGAAAACTCCCACGTGGGGAAGCTCCATCACCAGCACAGATGCCCCTTAAGTCAGAATGTCAATAAAAACAACC